CGAGCGCCTTATCCACCTGGCCATGCTGGGCCGTTTATTATGCGTTCAGACCCTTTTAAATGTGCTGTCCGAGCCTAGAAAGTTGATTCTACTGATGTATGATGATCAGTATTGAAAAACTCTTGCACAAATAAATGATAACAAAACGGCAGTCCTTAAATCAATCATATTCTGATAAATTTGTTTAGTGTTGGACATTTTTAGTTGGTTACGAGAAAGGTGATGAATAAAAAAAATATTATTATTTTAAAAATAGAAATATGTGGTTGTCTCTTTTCATGTTTTATTATTTAGCATCATATCTGATGCCAATTTGTCTGTTTTTATTGCTAAGCACAAAACTACACAATGGGCTATTCGTGCTGTGTCTACCACGATTAGTGAAACCCGACTCTAATGCTAAGTTTTCCACGCCGATTCTGTTATTAATTTTAGATAACAGGTGGCAGCAGCGCATCACCATTAGTTCTTACATGAGTCTACTTTTCCAAATTTCTCAAAAGTGAGGGTAATATTTTTCAATCTTTAATAGTACTTGTTAAAATTTCTGGCAATTTTAGTTTTCTCCCGAACTTTGGCAAATCTGTTTATAATATAACGATGTATAATTTTGTAGATCAACAAGGACTTTGTTGATTTTTTGCTGTCAAAATTCACGTATTTAATCTTCGTTACCAGGCTTTCTTAACTGCGATATACCAATCATAGTTTGTAGATATTCTGAAAAAAAGAGTTTTTTTAAATATCAAATTTACAGTTGCTGTTTTATTCATTAGCATATTTAATTTTCATATTAGCTTAGTAAAATAAAATTATTACTATTGAACAGTTCTGTAACATAGAACTGCATAAAAAATATATGTCAGTTAATATTTATAAAACATAGTTACCAGAAGAAAATATGTTTCTTACACATAAAAGTAATTTGAAATTATATTAAATTATAAATTATGTTTACTGTTGTCAGAAGTTTGAGGGTTTACATAATCATTTTCAGATTGCAGTACTGCGGAATTGGCTAGTGTCACCTATCGAATAAAAAGGCCAACTAAACAAACCCAAAAAAGGGGGTGGGGATTGAACGATCCGAAATTTTTAGAGAACGCCGTGATTTGGTAATATGTAAACATCCAATTAAATAACGGTAGCATTCATGAACTAAATCTTATCGTTGTCTAGACCACAGATCATAATGATTTGTTGTTGTTTAAAATCAAGCTACACACGGGTATCAAAACCCGGTTTTTAGAATAGTAAACACGCAGATTTACTGCTGAGCCACTTGGGGGCGACTCTAATGGTACCACTGACAGAAAAATTGGATACTTTAAAACAGACTGGAGCAGCCTACTTATCGATTAGGCCTACGTGGTAATACGACATTTACAACAAAAGTGATTATAATGATTGATATCATTTTTGATAAAAATATATTTTGTTACAAGATTCTGTCAGCAATAAACATTCTAAATAAAATTCGTTTCTTGGTTATTCTTTGTCTGTAATGTTTTATAACTGTGATCAAAACTTTTTGAAAACGAGTGGCAGTGAATTGTTTTATTGAAAAACGCTTGCACAAATAAATAATAACAAAACGGCAGTCCGTAAATCAATCATATTCTGATAAATTTAATGTCGTATTTGTTTCATGTTGGACATTTTAGTTGGTAAATGTAAATTTTTTTTGGTAAATGTAGGTGCGCGTTTTTAGCTTCCTAAAATGCCTACTAGGTGGCACTAGGGAAATATAAGAATTCTTACTGGTTGTTCTATATAAAATGTCATACTTAATCGGTAGAATATGAACACTTGTAAAATACAGGTCGAAAAGAGTAAATTAAAAATTTATCTATGTAGGGATGAAACGTCATCTTAGACCAGTAGGTTTTAATTTGCCAGTATTTTATAAGTATTAATAAATCATGTGTAGCATATCAGATTTCATATGTTTTTAATTTTATTTTTCAATTCAATTTTCTGCAATAGTGTTTTAGTTTTGCTTTTTTTTTGTTTAACTTAACTAGTAATTAATTTACGTTTGTTGTGAGCAAGTAACGAGAAATACTGGAACGCTCTGATTGAGAAATATTTTTGTACTACGATTAACTGATTTTTATAAGTTTATTCCCTGTTTGTATATATATAATATAAAAATTACACTTGAACACATGTTTATAAATTCACGAGATAAATTGTTTGAACATGACTTATTCTGATTTTGACAAACCACTTGATATAAGCCTGTCACATATTTGTTAAAGATTCCGATAGATGGCACCTCTGTTTAATTTATCTTCTTAGAGGCGATATTTTTCTGTACTAGTTGAAAACACACTGGTTTGTATTGAAACAACGCGTTAATTGAATGAAACTAAGTTTCAAATGGATAACAACTGCCTATTGTAGAAACCTACAAATGTAGAGGACGACGTATCGAAAGTCTTTCGCCTTTCGTCTTCAGACGGAAGACTTTCGAAACGTCATCCTCTACATTTGTAGGTTTCTACAATAGGCAGTTTCTGTCCATTTGAAACTTAGATTCAACTCCAATTTAGAACGAATTGAATCTATTCTTCGTAATGATGTGTGAATCATATTCCTTAACTTTCCGTGGAATACTTTAATGATGTGTAAATCATATTCCTTAACTTTCTGTGGAATACTTTAATGATGTGTAAATCACATTCCTTAACTTTCTGTGGAATACTTTAATGACGTGTAAATCACATTCCTTAACTTTCTGTGGAATACTTTAATGACGTGTAAATCACATTCCTTAAGTTTCTGTGGAATACTTTAATGACGTGTAAATCATATTCCTTAACTTTCTGTGGAATACTTTAATGACGTGTAAATCACATTCCTTAAGTTTCTGTGGAATACTTTAATGACGTGTAAATCATATTCCTTAACTTTCTGTGGAATACTTTAATGACGTGTAAATCATATTCCTTAACTTTCTGTGGAATACTTTAATGATGTGTAAATCACATTCCTAAACTTTCTGTGGAATACTTTAATGACGTGTAAATCATATTCCTTAACTTTCTGTGGAATACTTTTTTTCATACTACCTGACCACAGATTGCAACATGCACTCTGTTATTGTGTCCTTTGTCATGTGAAATGAAACATATTCGTCTTTGATTTAAAACTATATTAATTTTCATGTTTATTTACAGAGTTGAACTATGACACATTAAATAAACCTAGTTACTTTAAAACGCGGATGTTGATAGAAACGGTGAATACTTACACTACCATCGTTAGACGAACACGTTAGTTGATAAAGGTTAGTTTGTTTGTTATGGATTATCGCGCAAAGCTACACGAGGGCTATCTGCGCTAGCCGTCCCTAATTTAGCAGTGTAAGACTATAGTGAAGGCAGCTAGTCATTACCACCCACCGCCTACTCTTTGGGCCAATCTTTTACCAACGAATAGTGGGATTGACCGTCACGTTATAACGCTCCCACGGCTGAAAGGGCGAGCATGTTTGGTGTGACGGGGATTCGAACCCGCGAAACTTATACCGCTAGAAATCGGGTTTCGATACCCGTGGTAGACAGAGCACAGATAGCCCTTTGTGTAGCTTTGTGCATAACTACAAAACAAACAAACAAACACACCCTAATAGTGTCTCATTTTTTTTATTGGTGTCATTCGAAAAGATTCGTTAATAACTTCAACGTGAAACGAAGCTCGATGTTAAACGATATCCTGCCGATAGGCGAAGCTAAACTAACGTGTTTTGCATTTTCTTTCTCTTCAACCCGAAGAAAATAACGAAAGAAAATTTATTTGGATCAGTGGAAACCAATTTATTATATTGTATATGTATACATCCAACAGGGATGAAAATGTACCCCCCTTTTTTTTTTTAACTAGAACATATTTTTCAAACAAAAACGATTAATCACAGATCTGTATTGTTATATACACGCTACTATATCTTGAATATCTTACTTTACATTTTTATGTTTATGTGTTATAAAGAACACACCTAAACGTAGGGCTATACAGTACAACGCGAGGATATAAACTACAACCAACAACTGCGCATGTCAGCAGACTTGGGGGTGATAAATGTCTTGCGATTATGACGCCAGTTCGTCACCTCCAGGAGATGTCCATATCGCGTGAGTATCTTTTGAGCGTTTCCTTCGCGCCCATTTTTCCGTGGGTTTACACACGTGCACGTCTCTCCACACGCGACACTCGTCACATTGGACGAAGCAGCACCAGTGAAATTTACAGTTACATTTCTTGACCACCAGTTCTCTACGTGTATCGTAACCTCTTCCACAGCACATGATGCTACAGCCGTTGGTTCCCAAAGAGGATTTGTTGCACTCTCTTCCAGCAGTCCCCAGAGATCCTGTGAAAAGTAACATGCGTTTAAAAAAAACTCGCTTTAGGCGAGACGCGGGACGTTCGAAGTTAAAATGTCCTGTAACACCACTGAAACAAAATTAAAGTTTGAAACTCTGTTAATGGCACATCACGTTAAGAAAACTATTGTTTATATACAGTAGCTGGGGATATTCGATCTAAAAAAGTGGGGGGGTCACATCCCCCTGAAAAATTATTTATGAACACACGTAACACTGGCTGTTTTTTGAACTAAAGTTTAAGCTTTTCTAAACAGTTAAGACATTGTATGGGGTCTACTAACAAACACGAATCATGTTTAAAATTAATATCCATTTATTATGTTATATCCGACAAAAAAAGGTGCATTGAAATAACAGGCTACTGATTTTAGCTCAGCTCTAAAGAATTTCTTTGGGGGGTGACAGTCCCCTAAAAATCTCGTTGCTTGAATTGAGGATGAGCATAAAGGTCACTTCCATTGAGACACATTCACTTCAGAATTACCGAGGGGGTCCATAAGTTCCCACCAGGTTCTTAAACACATTTTCTAAATTATTCATATGACTAGGATTATGTTTAAATAATCAAGTGATTTTCATTCAAACTACGAGAGTATTTACATTTTAAAAAGTTTTTAGATTTGATTGAAACAACAGTGGTAATAATACAAGTGTTAATAATTATACGTGGGTGTGAACATGGGATAGCCCCCAGTGGCACAGCAGTATGTCTGCGGACTTACAACGCTAAAAAACCGGGTTTCGATACCCGTGGTGGGAAGAGCACAGATAGCCCTTGTGTAGCTTTGTGCATAATTAAAAACAAACAATCAAACAAACATGGGATAAGAAATTTAAAAAAAGAGAGAGAGAGGAGCGAGAATTTTGGCGGAAACAGGAAACGAACTGCGAACTTTTGAATTCACGTTTCGGACCATTTACAACCTGCATTTTCCCGTACTTACAATGTGTTTTCATTACATTGGATCCATATAAAGTGTAAAATAAATTACTTTAACAATATATCGTTCTGTGTATTAATTGCCTTGGTGAAAACTTAAAACGATGTTTATATAGGATGACTTTGACCCTTGGAACTTGACCCTTGAGAAGAGCCCAAAGACAATCTCGTTTCAGAAACTTTTCCCAACGCTAAAGTTAGCAGTCGTGGTTCACGTAATTTGGTAATATTAACAGTGTCTCAACCACTACCGTGCTCTCGTTTCAGAAACTTTTCCCAACGCTAAAGTTAGCAGTCGTGGTTCACGTAATTTGGTAATATTAACAGTGTCTCAACCACTACCGTGATCTCGTTTCAGAAACTTTTCCCAACGCTAAAGTTAGCAGTCGTGGTTCACGTAATTTGGTAATATTAACAGTGTCTCAACCACTACCGTGTCTTCCAAATGAGCCCTGGTATTGAGCGAAAGACCGCGTCGGCACTGAATAAAGAAGACACAATCGACTTAAACAACAACAAACAAGACGTTTCAGTAGTGCCAAGGATGTTGTTAGATTTTTCTCACGTGCCCTAAAATTACAAAGCCTGAAACTCTTTTTAAAAAACTTGGCTAAATTGGTGACAGAAAATAATCAAAACAAAACTGAAACCTACCGGTTTCTTCGTTACTCACGCAGTAGTCTGGAGAGTTTTCAAAATATACCAAATCGGACTTGGTGAATCGCTTGTAGTTTTTGTTGCTAACCATAAGGTGGTCTCCAGCCTGGTTCATTATCACCTGCACAGCACCATCATATTTCTTCTTCAGGTAATTCCCGACCGCACGGAAATCCATCAAGGCGACCCAACAGGTACGAACTGCGCATGATCCACTAACTCCGTGACATTTACATTGAAGTTTTACGTGTTTTCTCACCGCCTATACGAGTAAAATCAAAACCAAAACCAAAATATACCTGGTTGTGTAGTGAAGTGAGATTAATGTAATTATCGTTTTACAGCGCGCTCATCTCAAAGGTGGTTAATTTCGTGGGATATTTTAAGGTATATATTCTATCACCTATTTAATTAAACACTCCACAAACGCGGCGAGAATTAACATATAGCAACAACATATATATAACTATTCACTCACAACTGAGTTTAATTTATCCTATTTTTGTCCGTGTGCCTGTGCTATTATGTAGGGATGATGCAAGTGCCATCCCTACTATCTTGTTTGCATTCTTTTTGAAGGATTGATATTAGCCATCCCTACATTCACTTCCTTTCTTGAAAAGTTTTTTCTTTACTTGTGACTTTAGAAACACTGATGAGTTATTAGTACAACATCTAACGAAAAACGATATAGACGTTTTCTGAATATACAATAACAAGTAAAAACGAAAAACATTGTATTAGTAAGGAAGAAGTGGGTGTAATAGAAGAGAAAGTTTAATAATGGAGAAAAGTGGGTGTAATAGAGGAAAAAGTTAATAATGGAGAAAAGTGGGTGTAATAGAAGAGAAAAGTTAATTAATGGAGAAAGTGGGTGTAATAGAAGAGAAAGTTTAATAATGGAGAAAAGTGGGTGTAATAGAGGAAAAAGTTAATAATGGAGAAAAGTGGGTGTAATAGAAGAGAAAATTTAATTAATGGAGAAAAGTGGGTGTAATAGAAGAGAAAGTTTAATAATGGAGAAAAGTGGGTGTAATATAGGAAAGTTAATAATGGAG